TCTCTGCCCCCAGTGCAGAATGCTGGTTCCCATGCTTGTCCCAGGGACCGTCCCTGCCCCCAGTGCAGAATGCTGGTCCCCATGCTTGTCCCAGGGACTGTCCCTGCCCCCAGTGCAGAACGCTGGTCCTATGCTTGTGCAGTAGATGTTTTCCACTGAGCCACCTCCCCAGACTTCCAATCACTTGAACCTACTTTTCTTTTATCTTGTGTATGTCTGTGTATGGATGCCCATGCCACGGTGTGTGTGCTTGTGAAAATCAGATGACAGTCTGTGAGAGTTAGTTCTTTCCTTCTGTCATGTGAGTCCCAGACATTGAACTCAGCCTTGATGCCAAGTGCTTTTATTTCTTCGTCATCTCATCAGCCCCCTCTAATTTTTAAAATAAGAAAAGCAATACTCGGATGGTGAATCTTTAGTTTTCCTTTTTTGGTAGTGGGGGAGCTTAAACTTATTTTTTTGTTATGTTTTGTTTTGTTTTTCAAGACAGGGTTTCTCTGTGTTTTTGGAGGCTGTCCTGGAACTAGTTCTAGTAGACCAGGTTGGTCTCAAACTCAAGATTTGCCTGCCTCTGCCTCTAGTTTTTTTATTTTTAAGAGATAACTTACATTTTAGTAAATTGAAAAGATACATACCCGTTGATCAGATTTATTATCCACTGAATTTGATGACAATTTTTAGGTTTAATCCTTAATAAATAGTTTATATTAGTATCTGAGATTGTTTAAGCTTTCTCATGGAAAAAAAGAAATCCAGGCTGCAGCTAGAGCTGCAACATAGTTTTCTTCTGCTAATCCTTGGGCATTTCTGTTATATGACTGAGTGATATCAACAAGGGTGGCTATACTGTGACCAGGCTGGCCTCCCTCCCCCATTGAGACAGTCTTACTACACAGCCCGGCTGGCCTAGAATTCACTATGTAGACCAGCCTTGCTTCCTGGGATTAAAGGTGTGCATCACCACGCCTGGCTAGCCAGTTTCTAAGTCAAGAGTTATGATCTTTGACCCACTGCTCAATCCATTTTAAGATTTGGTTGATGTTATCTTCTAGCTGTTCTGGTTCATTGCTGGGCAGCTGATGCACAATTTCTTCTCTGTAAGATGCTCTGGCTTCTTCATAAAGAACCTGGAAAATCTCACACTGAATGTTGTCTTGTAGTTTTTTCTCATTATAACCCCTAGAAGGCAGAGAGGTAAAGCAAACAGAATAGCATTAAATATAGCTTTGGGAACAAGCCAGAAACTGGACACTATGTGGATAAATCATAAATTACACAAGATACTTTTCATACTCTCTTTGCCTAGAGAAGACAGACTAGCATCTATATGAGAGTCTTCTTTGACTCAAGGGCTAAACTAAGAATTATGAGACTAACATTTAGGTTTACCTGAATCCCTTGCTAGTTTATTAGCTGCTCAAATAATTACCCATCAATTAGCTAACAAACAAGTACCTACCTCAAGCTAGATTCTCATCTAGGAGATAATAAAAGGATCCATAGCAAGAATTTATGATAAGACAGACAGATATTACACACAGAGGAAAACACGGAATATCATTCACCAATTAGATAATTCATCATAAAAATGTTACCAATCCAAAAGATAAAAGTAATTTATATATGATATTTGGGTAGCATGTAAATTAACCAAAGAAACCAGAGGACCACTACATGGTATCCATGCCCTCCATTGCCAAAAAGCCACCAAGGTCATTTGGAGCCTTTGAAAGCAATAAAAGATACTTGATGGTGGCAGTTTAAAAGAATCAGCCCAACTCCCATTTCGTACCTGTAGCTAAATTAAGTTTTTGTTTACTGTAAAATTTGGCTTTCTGTTTCTCAGAGCTGGGCTGCACCCCACCCCCTAGTCATAAAACTTTTGTAACAAATGTTCCATGGTTTGGCTTCTGTAACCACACTTGCATGGGGGGGAATATCCCCCGCCATACAGTTTTGCCTTACAAAAAGGGTATGGGAAACTGGCTTGAGGCTGGTGTCATGAACCCTGCCTTGATGTGTACATGAATAAAGCTTTGGGTCAGTGGTCTTTATCCTCAAGCCTGTATGTAGGATTAACACAGTGTTTCCTTAACATCCAATCTTCAGGAATCAGTGAGGATTGGTCATGTTCTCACTAACCAGGAATGGTTCACTAGTGTAGAAGGCCTTGTACGGGGAAGGGATGCCATGCTGGAGATGATGTGATATACAATGTGACTTAGACACCATTCATTCGCAAACCAGCTGTGATTACTCAGCTGGACAAGAGTCAGGATGCAGCCAGGCGGTGGTGGCGCAAGCCTTTAGTCCCAGCACTAGGGGCAGGGGCAGGGGCATCTCTGTGAGTTCCAGACCAGTCTGGTCTACAAGAGCTAGTTCCAGGACAGCCTTCAAAGTCACAGAGAAATCCTGTCTTGAAAAACAAAATAAACAAAAAAAGAGTCAGGATTATACCAGTCTCAGGGAACCTTCAGCAGTAGAGGCCAGAAAGCAGGGCACATCTCAAAACTAAGAAAATACAAGCTGGAGAGATGGCTCAGTGGTCAGAGCTCTTGCAGAGGACACAGGTTCAGAGGTCTGACTTCTATGCTCCTTCATAAACATGGTGTACACACACACACACTAAATAAACTATTAAAAATAAAGCCAAATAAATATACTAACCAGTCTTTACACAGTCTTTGGTGATTCACATAAAGTGGTTTGTTTTTTTTTTTTTTTTGGTTTTACGAGACAGGGTTTCTCTGTTTTGGAGGCTGTCGGTCCAGCCTGGCCTCGAACTCACAGAGATCCGCCTGCCTCTGCCTCCCGAGTGCTGGGATTAAAGGCGTGGTTTGTAAGGTAAAATTTAAATCGTCTTGGCTGGCCAATGGCACATGTACCATAGGGTCTGGTCTCTCTTAGTTCTCTTTGCACAACCGTTTTCTCTTGAACCCGGGGCCTTGCACTCGCTCTACCACTAAACTACATGGCTGACTCCTTTCCTAGAACATCTTTAAAATCTTAATCAACATATAAAATTATGGGTTCCATTATGACATTTCATGTTTATCAAGCACTTGCCCACAATGAATTCCACTATTGTCACTGTCACCTCCTAATCACACTGGCCCCCTCCTGCCTCAAATAGTTTCCTCTTCACTTTCACATCTTTTTTGAGACAGGGTCTCACTATATAGCACCGGCTGACCTGGTACTCCGTCGACCAGGCTGGACTCTCAGAGATCCACCTGCCTACCTCTGCCCACCGAGCGCTGGGACTAAAGGATGCGCCATGACACCTGGCAACTTCCGCATGCACATCTGTTTTTCTGTGCTCAGAACTTTATAATGGCTTCTTACTATTTAAAGAGCGAAGATTGAAGTTTAGATCTAGCTTAGCCTAATGTGTCATATATTTGCAACTTGTCCTCATGCTGAAAGGTTTTTTTTTTTGTTTTTCAAGACAGGGTTTCTCTGTGACTTTGCAGGCTGTCCTGGAACTCTCTCTGTAGACCAGGCTTGCCTCGAACTCACAGAGATCCGCCTGCCTCTGCCTCTCGAGTGCTGGGATTAAAGGCAAGCAGCAAGGATTTTACACACATCCCAACTAGTGGTCAATCAGAGCTGGTCATTCCGACACTAGATTTGACAAAGTTCTGGAGCTTTTCTTTCTGATACTGTCTTCTAACTCCCTCTGTCATCTCCACCTGCCTAGAGTCTGGATCAAAAGGTAACAGAAAAAAGCTCCCTCCCCAAGTTCCCTTTTCTGATTAAATCTATGTTCCATGTGGGTGGGTCCCAAATATATTTTATTAAAATTATTCATTCTTTTTTTGACGTTTATTAATTATTATGTATACAGTGTTCTGCCTTCATGTATGCCTTCAGGCCAGAAGAGGACACCAGATCTCATTACAGATGGTTGTGAGCCACCATGAGGTTGCTGGAATTGAACTCTGGAAGAGCAGGCAGTGCTCTGAACCAGAGCCATCTCTCCAAACCCTAAATAATTTATTTTATATTTTAAATACATTGGTGTTTTGCCTGCAAGTATGTCTGTATGTGGGAAACAGATCCCCTGGAATAGGAGCTCCCATGTGGGTGCTGGGTATTGAACCTGGGTCCTCTGGAAGAGCTACCAGTGCTCTCAACGGCTGAGCCATCTCTCCAGTCCCCCAAAATATATTTTAATGATTGTGAAATGTTGGATTATCTTGTTAATTTTCATAAACTTCCCCATGATTGATGTAAGGACAATTTCAATGGGTAGTGTTCAAACAAAAAATATTATTGTTTGGCTCTTCTTCAAGGAAAGGCCTTGTATCAAGGATAAAACATGATTATGTGGGGGGTTCTAAATGGTGTATTTTATTAAATCAAGTTGTGGAGGTTGTGCATGTTTAACCTAGCACTGGGGAGGCAGACCAGGTAGATCTCTGAGGTCGAGGCCAGCTTGGCCCACAGAGTGAGTTCCAGGACAGCCAGGGCTACAGAGAGAAACCCTGTCTTGAAAACCAAACAAAAAGGCAGAGGCAGGCGGATTTCTGTGAGTTTGAGGCCAGCCTGGTCTACCGAGCGAGTTCCAGGACAGCCTCCAAAACAATACAGAGAAACCCTGTCTCGAAAAAAAAAAAAAAAAACCAAACAAAAAAAGAAAAAAAATTCAGTCGAGACATTCTGTCACTCAGAATATCTTACTTGTGTTTTACAATTGTCTCTGGTTCAGAATAACCATCACATAGACTTACTTTATAGAGAACAAATAAAGCAGTTACATTTCAAACAGAAAGTCTTCTCACGCTAGTATCAGTCAACTTCATGAATCTGAATAAAAATTTATTTGCTTTAATAACAAAATCAGAATCCCAGTATTTGGGAGGCAGAGGCAGGGAGGCCACCTTGTCTACAAAGTGGATAGCCAGGGCCATTACACAGAGAAACCCTGTCTCAAAAAAGAAAACAAACAAACAAACAAAAAACAAAAGACCAGTCTTTTTTCTTTTCCTTACCTTGTTTCCAGTCTTTTGTACAGTATACTATTATCTGTTCTCAACACAAAGACTATATGAAACCAGCGTTCAGGAAAGAAATCACAACCATGGTAATCAACAATAACACCGCCTTGTCTCATCTCATTCTCTAATTCATCGACGACCTGTGATAAACACACAACAAATAAAAAAGGTGAATGGTCCAGAGAAAACGGAAATTAACTGTCCCAAGCTCAACAAATGCATACTCCTCTGTTCAGTCATACTTACTCGATCTTCATCTAAAATGGGACAACCGTATTCTTCATCGTAGCCGTCATATAACTGCCCTAGAAGAGACCCATATAGCTTGTTAATATGCCCTAAGTAGCTTTCACTGATTTTCAATTAATTCTGGATTTGAGGAAACGCATCAGTGATTCTTTTAGATGCGAGAAAGCTCACTGATACGACAGCTGAGACATGTACAGTAGCTATGACACGGCCAGCAAACATAAAAGCACGCGGAGAAACTGGAGTCTCACCTAGAAGGAAACATACCTTAAACTTTGTTTGCTTTGTGCTTGAGTCAGAGTCTCACCACGCAGCCCAACTTAGCCTCAGACTAGGAATCCTCTCATTTCCACCATTAATAAAAGATCTGCCTTTTACAACTCCTCTCCCCCTCAAGAAAGGGTCTCACTATGTGAGCAACCCATCTGACTTCTGCCTAACAAAGCTGGGATTAAAGGCCTGAACCACCACGCCTGGCTAAAAGATTTACCGTTAATTACATGTATGTCTGTGTCTAGTTAGTGCACAGGAGCATGGGTGCCTGCAAAGGCCAGAGCTACTGGATCTCCATAGAATTGGAGTCACAGACAGTTGTGAGCCATCCACTGTGCTTCAGGGAACTGAACTTGGGTTCTCTGCAAAAGTAGTGTGCATTCTTAATGTCTAGGTCATCTTTCTAGCTTTTATATGAAACTTTAAACATCAAAGTTGAAATAACTTTAAAGAGGGGAAGGGCAGAGCTAATAATACCAGAGTTTGTGAGGTTATTAGTGGAAGAAATAACTTTTTTTTTTGTTATTGGCAGGAAAAGGGAAACATGGACAGCAAATATAAATACTTTCATACACAGTGAGATTGGGCTCCAATTCCAGCATGCTGGAGGCAGAAGCAGGCAGGTCTCTGAGTTCAAGGCCAGCCTAGTCTACAGAGTGAGTTCCAAAACAGCCAGGACTACATAGAGACCCTGTCTCAAAACAACAAAAGACAAACAAATAAACAAAAATAGAGATTGGGTTCCAGATTAAGGTGACTTTGGGGTCTACAAAGCAAGTTTCAGGGCAGCTAGATCTACACAGACAAACCCTGTCTCAAAAAACCAAAAACCAAAAACCACCACCACCAACCCATTCCAAGCAAGCTCAGGTCTTTGCTTCTGGAAGTAAATCCCCTTTCTGATCTCACACTTTTGTCAGGACTGAGAAGAGGAGTCAGTATCTTCATTTCTCAGAATCTCCAAAAGCCATTCCTCTCAAAAGCTAGCCAGCCTTGGGCCCGTGGCTGCAGCCCAGCAATAGAGCACTTGCTCAACATTCACAAGACCCTGAGTTCCATCTCAAATATTCAAGTGAAAACGAAGTTAAATAATTTTATTTTAAAAGGTTCTAGAGGCTTCAGAGACGACTCATCTATTAAAGGCACTGGCTGCTCTTTCAAAGGACCTGGGTTCAGTTCCCAGAGCTCACATGGTGACTCACAACTGTCTGAAACTCCAGCTCCTCTTCTGACTTCTGTGGGCACCAGGTACACACATGGTAAATACACATACATGTAGGCAAAAAACTTACATACATAAAGCTGTAAAGAAAAAAGGCGAAAAAAGCTGGAATAATTTAGTGGGTAAAGGACTTGCCTATTGTGCAGGAAGCCTGTGGTCTGATTGCCAGCATTAAATAAAGCAGGCATGGAATCACATGCCTAGAAATCCAAGCTCTCAGGATAACCAAGAGTTCAATATCATTCTCAGCTACACAGCAATTTATAGGCCAGCCTGGGACAGAAGAGACCCAGTCTCAAAACAAAACAGCCAAAACAATAGGCAAAATTACAGAGAAGACAAATTAATGGGAGAATGCTCACCCGGAACAATTTACAGATGGTTTCAAGAGAAGTTTTGTTTTCTTTTTTGGTTTTGAGACAGGGTTTCTCTGTATAACTGCTCTGTCTGTCCTGGAACTAGCTCTGTAGACCAGGCTGGCCTCACACTCAAGAGATCCACCTGCCTCTGCCTCCCAAGTGCTGGGATTAAAGGTGTGAACCACCATGTCCCACTTGACAAGTTTTCTTTTAGGAAATAAGAAAGACAATCTGATCCTCAATATGATCTAGACTTAGTCATAGTAGAGCCACAATAAGCACATTACATAGTTGATTTCTTACGTGTTTCCTATTATATTTTGTTACAGGTTGAAAGTAAGTCGAAATGAGCTCTCTTCACCTGGTGTGATTTGTCTTTGTGGAATGAATGCTCAGTTAGCACGGATACTATCAGCCTAAGAAACTAAACTGCCTTGATGTGGCAAAGACTTCGTAAACGGCACTGCTGTTTCCTTGCCAAATAGGAACTAACTCATAAACCAACACCAAGTGCTGTTAAGCTTAAAATAACAAAAGCAGCTGTGAGAGGTAGGGATCCTTGACCACAGACACGAGCATTGAAGGTCGCTGACTGTGGCAGCTACTTAATCCCTGCTCCCTCTGCAGCGGTTACCTTTCTCACTGCTGTTTGAGCTAAGCTTTCGGATGTCAGCCCTGATGGCAGAGAAGGAATGACAGAGGGGCTCCAGTCTCAGGGGAGAGGAGCCTGCAGCTGCTACTACTTCACATGGTGACCAAACCAGGAAGTTGAGGGGAGACAATAAACATCAAGGATAGCCCCCAGCACCTCTGCCAGCCAGGCTGTAAATCCTACCAAGTTTCACAAAATCCCAGGGTCACCGTTTGGGGACATGAGCCCTTGGGACTGAAGAGAAGGCATTACTCCTCCTGCACAGGACCAGAATTGTTCCCAGCACCCACAAAGGGCAGCTACCAACTGCCTATAACTCCAACTTCAGGGGATCCAATGCTTCTGGCCTCTGTGGGTACCTGCACACAGACACATACACATAAAATGATAAAAAATAAATCTTTATTACTCATTTTGGTCTAAAACAGCGGGGTATGGTGACACACATCTTCAATTCCAGCACTCAGGAGGCAGAGACAAGTGGCTGAGTTTGAGGCCAGCCTGGTCTATTAGCAAGTTCTAGGCAAGCCAGGATTACATAGTGAGACCCTGTCTCAAACAAATGTGCAAACATGTGAGCCTTTGGGGGACATTTCAGACTCAAACTAGAACAAATGGAATTTAAGAGGCGTTGTGCTGTAGTTGAGCAGGAATTAACTATGCTTTGCATCATCTGTGAGCACACAAAGCTGATAAATGGTATTGCCACAGTTCCCTCTCATTTCTATTTTCCTTACTTGAAGCTTATATTCTCATCTTATACCCTGACATACTTTTTCATCTAGTTCATGTAGGTGTTGCATGGAGACTGAGCTCTTGGTAAGAGTGGACAGTGACCCAAGAGAATTCAGGGTAATGTTCTTCAGGGTCTCTCAAGCCTCTTTCCTATTATCCAAGTTAATCACATTAACAGTTAATCACCAGTCACCCTTCCATCCCATGTGGTATAGAAGCAATGCTGTTAATTTTTACTTCATTGGTTTTCTGCTATGGCACAAAGCAAATAACACTCAGAAGAATCGGCAGGACTAGACAGCACATTTTTCTAGGACTTGGGGTCTATAGCTTTGGGACTTGTAACAAGTAAGACAAGTTTGATAAGCGGAAATCTCATCTTCCTATTCACTTTATCTAATACCCCTTCCTGGCCTCCATGGCACCAGGAATGCATAATGGTACAGACTTTATATACAGGCAAAACACCCATACACATTTTATTTTTAAAAAACCATATGTTTGGCTGGGCAGTGGTGGTGCATGTCTTTAATCCCAAAACTAGGGAGACAAAGGCAGGTGGGGATCTCTGTGAGTTTGAGACTAGCCTGGTCTACAAGTCGAATTTTTTTTTTTGGTTTTTCGAGACAGGGTTTCTCTGTGGCTTTGGAGGCTGTCCTGGAACTCACTTGGTAGTCCAGGCTGGTCTCGAACTCACAGAGATCCGCCTGCCTCTGCCTCCCGAGTGCTGGGATTAAAGGCGTGCGCCCGGCTACAAGTCGAATTCTAGAACAGCTAAAGCTTCAGAGAAACCTTGTCTTGACAACCCCCATATCTATCTATCTATCTATCTATCTATCTATCTATCTATCTATCTATCTATCTATCTATCTTCTGCACATATATGCTAAAATAGAATTAGAAACCTTACTGCTGTGGTGGCGCACACCTTTAATCCCAAAACTAGGGAGGCAGAGGCAGGCAGATCTCTGTGAGTTCGAGGCCGGGCTGGACCACAGCCTCCAAAACAATACAGAGAAACCCTGTCTCGTAAAAACCAAAACAAACAAACAAACAAAAAGAACCCTTACTGCTTACTGTGATATTTGTTTTAAAGATTTATTTACTCAGTGTGGTATGTATACTTTGCCTCCATGTATGTCTGTGAACCACATGCCTCCCTGGTGTTCAGAGACAGAGTGATGGATCCCCTGGAAGTGGAGTTATACTTCTGAGCTGGGTGTGGGTGCTGGGAATCAAACCTAGGTCCCTGGAAGATCAGTCAGTACTCATGGCTGCTGAGCATCGCTCCAGTGTCCTTTGATGTAGAGACGAATATTCTAACATTATTGTGTATATGTGTAGAGTATGTAGGGATCAAAGCACATGAGTCTTCACACCTGGGATTTTACCTGCTGAGCCACTTCATTGGCTTCTAAAATGAAGGGTATATTTGTGTGCATTTCTTGTTTTTTTGGGACAGGGTTTCTCTGTATTGCTTTGGAATCTGTCGTGGCACTCGTTCTGTAGACCAGGCTGGCTTCTAACTCAGAGATCCGACTGCCTCTGCCTCCCGAGTGCTGGGATTAGAGGTGTACGCCACCAACACCCACCTAGTCTTCTCATCCTTTTTAAACATCAATGAATGGCATCAAAAGAGAAGTTAAGAGATATTAGAGACCAAGATTTCTACATAAGACTTTGTTCCGAACAAAACAAAACAGAAAGGGCCAGAGAAACTTCACCATCTGAGTTTGACCCCCAGGGCCCACATGGTGGAAGAAGAGAACCGACTCCTGCAAGTTGCCCTTTGACCTCCACGTGTGCTATGGCAAACCCACAGCAACACAAATATACAAAGTAAGTAGGGGAAAAATACAGTACCATGGCCAGGGAGATGGGAAAGGAGTACTATATAGATCCACCTCACCACCAACCGGCCCAGAGAAACTATCGTAAGTTAGAGCCTAAACAGAACTGGGCAGAGTGTATATGTATGTGTATTAGAACCAGGAGGTGGCAAGAAGGATGATTTCAGAGTCCGCTCTTTAAATATGCTAATTTGGAGATGCTGTGTTTAGGAAGTTTAGAAAGGTATAATAGGTGTCTAGTATTCCTTAGCTCAGGAAACTATATAACAGGGACTTGCCAACTCCTGAGTTAAGGGACAAACCAAGGGGCTGGAAAGATAGCTCAGCAGTTAATAGCACTGACTGGTCTTCCAGCAGGACTTGGGTTCAATTCCTAGCATCCACATGGTAGTTTAAAACTAACTCTGGTTCCAAGAGATCTGACACCTTCATACCAATGCATATAAAAATAAAGTTTTTTCCCCCCTTCAAGACAGGGTTTCTCTGTGTAGGCTTGGCTGTCCTAGAACCCACTCTGCAGACCAGGCTGGCTTTGAACTTTCACAGATCCACCTGCCTCTGTCTCCCAAGTGTTGGGATTAAAGGTGTGAGCCACCACTGCCCAGCAAAATAAAGTTAATTATTTTTTTTAGAGACAAGACTCTAACTACAGAGCAAATAGCTCTGTGGCACAGTGCATGCATGGCATATATGTTAAGGACCTATTCTATCTGAAATGAATTCAATGTCCTAAGTTAGTTTACCAGTCCCAGACCTATGTGTACCCTGGAGTTAGCCTTCATCAGGAGGAACGCTAACAAACCGGAGGTGGGAAACTTAAGGCTGCTAACAGCACTAAAACAGTTGTATATGAGAAAGCTCATCAAGGGGAAGAGTAATCCCAGGGAACGCAGCATTCTTACACACCCATGATGCTGAGCAGCTCAGTCGGTTAGGGGAAAAACTTTTAAACTTTAAGAAGTGAGGCTGATGCCGGGCGTTGGTGGCGTACGCCTTTAATCCCAGCACTTGTGAGGCAGAGGCAGGCGGATCTCTGAGTTCAAGGCCAGACTGGTTTACAGAGTGAGTTCCAGGACAGCCTCCAAAGCCACAGAGAAACCCTGTCTGGAAAAAAAACCAAAATGAAGTGAGGCTGGTGCACTGAGCACTACTCCTGGTCCAGCTGTTGAGAGGGACGGGGGATGAGCAAAGCGGTCAAGACTGTGCTGGAGAAACCTACAGAAACAGCTGACCTGACCTAGTGAGAGCACATGAACCCAGTCACAAAGCTGGGGAGCCAGCGGGACCTCACCAGGTCCCCTGAACGTGGGTGCCAGTTAAGATGGAGGGACACTATTTCAGCTCAAATACACACAGGAGCGCCTGTGTGACAGACTTTGATAATAACCTATTAAAAGCCTATCCTTGGGAAGGGGGAACGGTGATGGCATGGGAGAATGGGAGGGAGAGGGAAGGGGGGATTGATATGTAAAATGAGATTTTCTTTTTTCTTTGTTTTTCAAGACAGGGTTTCTCTGTGGCTTTAGAGGCTGTCCTAGAACTCGCTCTGTAGACCAGGCTGGCCTCGAACTCATGGAGATCCGCCTGCCTCTGCCTCCCAAGTGCTGGAATTAAGAGCGTACACCACCACTGCCTGGCTAAGATTATTTCTAAATAAAAAAATTTAAAAATAAAAACAAGCTGGGCGTTGGTGGCACACGCCTTTAATCCCAGCACTCGGGAGGCAGAGACAGGCAGATCTCCATGAGTTCAAGGCCAGCCTGGTCTACAAAGTGAGTTCCAGGACAGTCTCCAAAACAATATAGAGAAACCCTGCTTCGAAACCAAGCACTGTCTCCAAGTAGATGTCATGGTTACATAAATCGGAGAAAACACCTAAGAGTGACTTACACAAAGAGGCTGTAAGACTCTAAAGTATCTGGCCAGGTACAATGGTGTACACCTTTAATCCCAGCACTTGGGAAGTGGAGGCAGAGGCAGGAAGAACCCTGTAAACTCAAGGCCAGCCTGGCCAGTATATTTCCAGGAATTTACAGCTCCACTCATCCTCATCACTAGGGTGAGCAATCCAGCACTGCCCCAGATAGCTCCCCTATGCACAAAGCAGCAGGGCCAGGGCCAGTTCTCCTGCTCCCATACCCTCAGGGCCAGCTAGCACTTCATAGAGAGACTCTGCCTCAAACTAAATCATTAAAGCATCAGAAGACAGCAGAGATAGGTAGCACAGTAGATGTAGTAACAGAGGCTGTAACAACTTCAACCCAAGAAGGAAATTGCTTTTGAAAACATAGTTGCCAAAGTACCAAGAGCCAAACTGATAAATGACAATTTTATTTTTATGCATAAAGGTAGATGAAAAACCATTACTAGTTCTACTAAAACTGAACATTTCAATTGAAAACCATAGTATGTATACTTCTTAAATACCATTTTCTAAAATACAGCTTTAAAACATCTAACATGCTTGTTTAATTTCAGCACAATGGATTCAAGACCAAGTATACATGTTACATGCATCCAGACTGGATTACAAATTATCATAGTCATCATCATCATCGTCATCATCATCATCCTCATCCTCACGTTTTCTTTTCAGCGCATTTACTGACTCATTGCCTGTATTTTGGGATACCATATTAGTAGTAATAAGAATGTTTTTGGACCCAATCAGTGATGGATTAATCAGAACATTCTGAACTGCTGATGTTGCAGGAATTGAAGCTTTCACAGCAGGGGACTGAGAAGCAGGCATCTGGACTGTAAACCTCTGTCCTGTGAGGGACATTGGAGTGCCTACTTTAGTTGAGACAGACATGGTTTGTGGAGTTGGTGTGCCTAGTGTGGGAGTACTTGGTCTGCTAGAAACTGAACCAACACTTAGTCGGGGAACTGTTATTCTTCCTGCAGGAGTAGATGCCTTTTTTTGCAAAGACTTAAGCCTATAGTTTGGAGCAGTTAAACAGTACCTATCGGGTGGCAGTCTAGGGCCTGAGTATGGCTTGATCAATGGCAAAGGGGTCTGATTTCTCTGTCTCGCAATATCTAATAAAAAGTCTCTCGGGGGAGGAGAGGTGAAAGACTGGTCCGCACGGCACTGGATCGCCAGTCGCACATCGTCTGCGTCAACAGTGGCTTTCTTAGCATGGCTTGAATAAACTTTAGCATCATCTAGAATTGTGGTCACATATCGGAAGGCAAACTCCAACATCTGATTTATAACTCTCGGCTCATAGTCTGTAATCCCCATATCCTTCAGGATTTGTGCCATCATCTGTGCATCTTTCGGCATGCTCTTGGGAGAAGCCATCTTGCCAGACTCCATGATATCCGGTGATCAGACTTTAAGTCATTTAAAAAAAATATGGAAATTAGATCAAACTGAAATAGTTACTTTAGTAGCAACTGTTAGGAATTTAAAATTTTCAAAAATATATTTAAAATGTAAAACACCATTTTTTTTTTTTACTTTAAGTATACTTAAACTTCCCTTTGCTTAAAAATACTGAGTTCCAGACAGGCGTTGGTGGCACATGCCTTTAATCCCAACACTCAGGAAGCAGAGGCAGGCGGATCTCTGTGAGTTCCAGACCAGCCTGGTCTACAGAGCTAGTTCCAGGACAGCCTCCAAAACAATACAGAGAAACCCTGTCTCAAAATAATACACCAACAATAACAAAAACCCAAAAAACAAAAAAACTGAGTTCCTTCTCTAAATATGGAATATAAAAAGATGACACAAATAAGGTAAGTAATAAAAGATTAGGGGAAAACTAGACTATATGCATCGAGCCTGGGCATGCAACTATCAAAGTAAAGTGACTGATAAAAATAATATAGTAATATCCCACTGCTTGAGAGCAATATACTGTCTCACACCTATGTTTTAAAACCACCCAGTTTCCTTCTTCATATTCAGATCTTCTTTTCACAGAAGTTGTCCCAATTACTATTGTTTATAAACATTGCTAGTTATTTTGGGTTAGGAAAGGGGGAATGTTCAAAATAACTATGCAACAGTACTAGGCATGTAGCGCTTTTTATTTCTTGTGTCCCTAGCAGAAGGTAAATTGCTCACTACCAGTGTCTTTCTACTTTCTGGGTTCTCTAGCAACACTTAGCTAACTTAGCACTAACACTCTACTACCTGATTTAAAAAAAGAATCCAACAACAAAGAGTCCCTTACCTTCTCGAGCTAAATCACCCACATTCACGTACTTCAGTCCTGATCTTGATGCAAGTTCTTTGCCTAGTGTGGTTTTTCCAACTCCTGGTGTACCTGTAAAAGAAGCCACAGAAAAATACCGTTCAAATACTATTTACTAGATATCAGCCATTGTATGTTCTGAAGGTTCTAAACTGACACAAAAGTTCCCCTAATTAGCAACCATATATGAATAGATACCATGATCTCATAAAAATTCCCCAGAAAGCCTGGGGCAGTGTTGTATGCCTTTGATCGAAGCACTCAGGGGGCAGAGGCAGGTGAATCTCTGCATTCAAGACCAGTCTGGTCTATATAGAGAGAGTTTTCAGGACAGCCAAGGATACAGAGAGAGAGACCTTGTCTCAAAATTAAACCAAACCAACAAAATATGACTAGGTGTCAGTTTCTGTATCTTAATTCCCAGGAGTAGGATTCCAGCAATTTTGATGGCAATTCTGCCAGCTAACAACATGAAACTTGCCGGCATAAATTTAGGCAACTCAAATAAAACTACCATCATTTATTGCTTTCACAGGAAAAATTTAAGTAATATGAGATAACTCATTACTACTACTTACCCCTAACTCTAATAACTTCCCCAGAGGGAACTATTATGAACCAGTTTCTCACTTAGCTTTCTCTGTGTTTGTGTATATCTAAGGGATATAATGTACTACTTGGTATATACTTTACTATGTATATACACACATTGTATATATCCACACATACAGCATTGATAACCTACACACTGTCCTTTGCTTTTCTCCTTTTATAGCTAATTATAAGACAAAACAATTTCAGCTGTTCAAACTTGTAACTCTGACGAATCGCCATATTCAAGAAAATATTATTTTCACTGTAATACACCAACCTGAATCCTTGACTCAACTTGTGTGAACTCTGTATTCAACATGCTTACTCTAATCTATAACTTAGCTTCTGTTTAAATAGAGTGCTATGTAATAAACATGCTATCCCATCCAGTTTATATAGTTGTGGGGATCCAGCCCAGGGCTTCATGCCTACCAAATTACATCACCAGGGTCTCACTCTGTAGCCTAGTGGCCTCAAAGTCTTAAAGAAACTCCAAGACAGTCTGTCCGTGCAAACCAGGTATTGTAAAATGTTTCTCGGCCGGTTGGTGGTGGTGCACACCTTTAATCCCAGCACTGGGGAGGCAGAGGCAAGTGGATCTCTTCGAGTTCGAGATCAACCTGGTCTACAAGAGCTAGTTCCAGGACAGCCTCCAAAACAATACAGGGAAACCCTGATAGAAAAGCAAAAGCAAACAAACAAACAAGCAAAAAAGAAAGAAACAAACTCCAAGACAGTCCGTCCGTGCAAATCAGATATTGTAAAATGATTCTCATAAGGAATCTTTAAGGCTAAAATCTGCTTAACTCATTAACTGACAGAAATTGTGCTTTCGCAAAACAGCATATTAATTTTTTTGTATAAATGAGTAGCATCTATACCCATCCAATCTGTGTATGGGTGGCCTACGATGCTGTTAGATGCCACAACTTAATTATTTCCAGTTAAAGCTTCGAAGATCCAGAAGGGCGCCGCCCAGGACCAGCTCCAGATCCTAACATTCTTTGGCCCCAACGGCCACAAACGCTAAGAAAAGCCTTCACACCGAAACAACGACAAGGCAGTGACAGCAACCGAACAAATAAGTGAATCGGTCACGCCTCTTCGCGAACCTCCAAAATCATTCACCGAAAGCTTCTGGGAAGTGTTTCTCAGAAGTAAAGGGGTGAAACAAAAAAACAAAAACAAAAACCCCACGACCAGGAAGGCCCAAAGACCGAGGCACCCACCATCACCCCACCTCCTAACGCTAGACACTGCCTCTGCAGCACTTCCAGGGAGGAAGCCCCAAGCCCAAGCCCGACAAAGGACCAGCAAGCCAGTTCTCGGGGCGAAATACCAGGTTCACAAAGCCTGAAGTCTCCGGCGGAGCAGGACCCGGCCGCCGCTCTCCTTCCTGGCTCGCCGCGGCGCGTCCGGCCAACCGAACACCGCCCCCTCCCCCCGCCGCAGCGGTCGCGAGCGCCGGGTCCTGACGCCGACAGCCGCACGCCACGCCGCGCGGCGCCTCGGGACCAGCCCTCCGCGGCCCCCTCCTCTCCCGGGGCCTCACAGCCCCTCGGCAGCCCCGGCCCGGCCCCGCCGCGCGCCCTGACCGGTGAGCAGGATGTTCGGAAGCTTCATAGTCCTCCCTCGCAGGCCGCCGGCGCCTCGGCTCACGCGCCCAACGCGCCGGCCAGGGAGGAGCCGGAAAGGGCGGGCGGCCGTGCGCGCCCGCGACTCGCGTTCCTCGAGGCCGCGCGTGGGCCTCCCGATGCGCTTCAGGGCCCCTTGGCACGCACCAGCGACCCTCCCGGACTTCGGGGCTACGCTTCCATCGAATGCTGGGACCCGGGCCGCAACTCGGGCCGGCGTTTTGGCTCAGGCAGTAGGGCGGACGCCTATGTCACTCGCTCGCCTGCCCGCCCCGCCCCTCTTGGCTGCGTCGCGGAAGCGCCGCGGGTCAGGAAGGCCCCCGGGAGGCGGGCCCTCCTGGAAGCCTGCGGCGGAGCTGGGAGGGCTGGGCTGCTATCCTTCCACAGGGAGTAGATCCTGGGCTTCTCCACTGCGTCCCGCCCACGAGGGGACGCGGTTCCCTGAAAGTAAGGCCGCTGCGGCTTCGGCTGTGTTTATCATCGTCCTAGAGGCGTGAGGGCAGCTTCGTCTTGACGCCTACCTGGGCTGTCCTCGCGATCCGCCCTCCCTTACGGGCTGGAGTGGGATGTGCGTGAGGAGGAGCCGAGGAGGAGGTGTCACTTGAGCTCGCTGACGGTTGCACAGTTACTTAGGACTGATGTGTGAGCTTAGTGTCCCCTGTGCAGTGCGGGAGGTGGAGGGGACCGGCTAGGGATAGACCTGAAGGTCTCGTTTATCTCCAGCGTATTTCACGAGTCTGATATCATCTGAGAGAGACAGTTGTCTGTTGATTGCAGGAGGTGATTGTCAGTCTTGTTTTCAAAGAGTGCTGGCCAGTAACACCATTGAGCATCTTTTATTTCGACAAGTATACTTTAAGTAGATGTATTTTTGTCCCCTTTTTACACTTAAAGCTCTAATCTGAAATTACATAAGGGAAGGAGATTTGTTGTATTAGGTGGGAAAGTTTTTAGCGCCTGTGGACTTGTGTGTGCCTGCAGCTCTAAAATAGACCTGTGCACCTTCCAAAATATAAGTTTATCCAAAGGGAGTAATGAATCTAACTTCATTGTACTTTTTCCTTGTTCTTTAAATTGTAAATCCACAGCTGGGAGGTGGTGGCCCCCACTTTTGTTTGTTCGTTTGTTTTTTGTCTTTCAAGACAGGGTTTCTCTGTATTGTTTTGGAGGCTGTCCTGGAACTCTCTCTGTAGACCAGGCTGGCCTCGAACTCACAGAGATCCACCTGCCTCTGCCTCCTGAGTGCTGGGATTAAAGACGTGCGCCACTAACGCCTGGCTGGTGGCCCCCACTTTTAATGCCAGCATTCTGGAGACAGAGTCAGGCAGATCTCAGTGGGTTTGAGTCCACCCTGATCTACAGAACGAGTTCGAGGACAGCCTAGAAAAAAAATTAAATCCAATATAGTTTGCAACTTGATGAGAAATAAGACTTTCAATATGAAAACTCATATGGGATTAGTTTTGTAAGAAGTAAGGTTTGTAAGTATGTGGTTTTCTGTTTCATTCATCATTGAGTTTATGTGAAAATCTTATTATACCACCACAGATTATCAGATAAAATTATAGTCATTTAAGCTAAAATTTGCTTTAGAATTTTAGCATGTTTACTCTATTTTCCTTCATTAGTTCTTGAGTCCCCTACCATGTGGCGGATTGTGGTGTTTTTTGTTTGTTTTTGTTTTGTTTTTCCAGACAGGGTTTCGCTGTGGAGCCCTGGTTGTCCTAGAACTGAATCTGTAGACCAAACTGGCCTCAAAGACTCATGGAGAACCTCCTGCCTCTGCTTTCCTAGTGCTGGGATTGAAGGTGTGCGACACCACTGCCCCGTCTGATTGTGTATTTTAATACCGATTACTGTAATTCTGTATTTACTGTTTTTCCTAACTTGAGATGTTTTTATTCTTTCTCCCCAGGTGAATTACACTTTAATGTACTCCAAATTGTATGCTACTGATGGGAACTATTAAAGTTTATAATGTCAGAAACTTCCCTTAGACCAAAGGTATCTTCCACAAAGGTATGATATACATAAAGTGGCCTAAAGACAATGACAAATGGTTATGCTTCTTCTCAGTGACTTATCCCTATCAAAGTAGTGATGATCCAGTGTCTGTTGTAATTAGTCACGTAAAGTCTGGCAGTAAGCTGCAGAACAACCAGAACCTTAATTCTGAAAAAGCCTTCCTTACCCAAAAACAGTTTCTGTTTATAGACCTGGTTGTCTTAGAACTCACTGTGTAGTTCTGGCTAGCCTCTGCCTCCTGAGTTGCTGGGATTAAAGGCTTGAACCACTATGCCTGTCTTTGAAAAAGCATTTTAGGGGCTGGAAAGATGGCTCAGCAGTTAAGAGCACTGGATACTCTTCCAGATATCCTGAGTTCAATTCCCAGCAACCACATGATGGCTCACAATCTTCTATAATAAGATCTGGTACCTGCCAGGCATTGGTGGCACACATCTTTAATCCCAGCACTCGGGAGGCAGAGGCAGGCGATCTCTGAGTTCGAGGCCAGCCTGGTCTGCAGAGTGAGTTCCAGGACAGCCTCCAAAACAATACAGAGAAACCCTGTCTCAACAAAACAAAAAATTATATAGCTTTGCTGTTTTTTCCTTCTCATGGTAGATGGAAATAAGAAATAAAACTATAAAATGTATAAATAACATACAAATCAATATTCCTATCAGAAAGCTTAGTATAAAACTGTTTTCATGCACTTTTAAAAGCAGAAAAAAGAAAAATTTAGACTAACATTGTCAATCCTTTCAAAGAAAAATGAATCAGCCAGTTATGAGTGCATTTTTTTCTCCACTATTTTCTTTTTCTACTGCTGATAAAATTCCTAACCTTCTGATCTAAGAGTGAAATGTACATTAGTATTGATAAAGTAGTTATCAGCCCATATTTCTTCCAGAAGCCTTATTTCCACCTCCAGTTTTTGACTTTATCTCTGAGACTAACATTATCTAGCAAAGAGTTCACAACTGAAATTAAGTCCCCTCCTTTGTTGGCATCCCTCTCCATCTTAAGGGACAAGACTGAAGCCAGGACCTAGTGATGCCAGGTGAGCATTCTACTGCTAAACAATGTCCCTGACACAAGTAGAGTATCCTTGAAGAAAGTATAATCTTGGTTCTTCCTCATTAGTCAGGCAGGAAATTTCAAAAGCCAAGTAACCAGTTATATCTTTTCTAGATTTATAGTAGAATAGAGCAGACTAATCTCAAACTTGCTGACATCCTCTTGTGCCTGTCTTCCCAATGCTGGACTGAGAAGCTTGCACTACCATACCCAGATATTTTTAAAAATTTTTGGTTATCTGAAAAACCTTTTTAGTACTGTTGTTTTTTGTTAAAATTGCTCAGTTCAGCATTTTTCTTCTTGGAGACAGGGTTTCTCTGTAAAATACTCCTGGCTGCTCTGGAACCTGCTCTGTAGACCAGGCTAACTTGAAACTCAGAGATCCGCCTGCCTCAGCCTCCCGAGTGCTGGGATTAAAGGTGTGAGCCACCAAAGCCCATCCAGCTTTTACAAAGATTTTTTTTTTTTTTGAGACAGGGTTTCTCTGTATTGCTTTGGAGCCTGTCCTGGAACTGGCTAGAGACCAGGCTGGCCTCGAACTCACAGAGATTCGCCTGCCTCTGCCTCCCGAGTGCTGGGATTAAAGGCATGCGCCACCACTGCCCGGCCCAAAGATTTTTAAAGAAGTAATGGAAGGACACATGGAGAGGTTAGAAGTTGCTATAGACCAGAAAATATGGACTAGAATGTTTGGAATTTCCTCTTCTGATGTTCCAGGATTCTTTTCTAAATGTTTCTGTGAAAAAGATATCACCTTCTCTAGAAAGCCTATCTCACTGAAATGTTGACTGCTTCATGCACTGAAAAATACAGTACAGTCATAAGTACCAGGAACAGCAGCATTAGGAAATATGGGGCATAATACATTTCCTCCCTATCACTTGGGAGGCAGAGGCAGGCGGATCTCTGTGAGTTCAAGGCCACCTTGGTCTACACAGCTACTTCCAAAAGACAGCCAGGGCAACACAGAAAAACCCTGTCAAAAGAAAGAAGGCAAAAGTGGAGGAGTGCTGAGTGTGGAAGCGTGCCTGTAATTCCAGTAGTATTTGGGAGACTGAGACAGGAGCAGCTCTAATTCAAGGCTATCCTTGGCTACATAGTATGTTCTGGGTCAGCCTGAGAATGACCCTGTTTCAAAAATTACTCATTGGTAGGTAGATAATTTTATAGGATGTTTAAGAGTTGTCATCACATTTCTAAAGTAGTTCAGTTGTATATAGGGAATAGGTATAAAGATCGTAGTAATTATAGTTTCATTTCTTTGCAGACCACAGACTGGGTGGATCCATCATTTGATGACTTTTCCGAAACTGCTGCCATCACTGCTATCGCTGCTTCATCTTTAGGTTTGAACAATTCCAGTCACAGAAGAAAAAAGTTGCCTTCCACAGTAGACAGGAGCAGGCTGCTAGCTAGAAGAAGAGGGAAACTGTCTTCTTCAGAGTGCACTTATGGTGCAGAAGCTTCAAAAGAGCCTCTGTCTGACACTGAGCCTTGGGTGGATAAATATAAACCAGAAACTCAGGTACGCGTTGGGTATCACACAACATGCATTTGTCATTTGGATGGATGAGCATGCATAACAAGAAAGATGTTTTTAGAGTTTTATTCATAAGAATCTCTTCAGCTTGCTGTTGTGGCTCACACCTCTAATTCCATCACTCAGGAGGCTGGCAGACCTAGTGAGTTCAATGCCAGCCTTGTCTACACAGCAAAGTTCCCGGAAAGCCAGGGCTATAAAGAGGGACCCAGTCACAAAAGCAAAACAAAAGAAAAAAAAAAAAGAAAAACAAAATAAATTAGTAAAATGAAGTAGAAGAAAAACTTATTTCAATGTCTAAAACCTGTGATGCTACCAAGTTATTCTGTAGTTACACCATCTTTTCTTTGACTTTAACCCAGACTAGAATTTATAGATGTGGTACCCTTCTCTACCCCCTCCCCATATAATGCTGGATGTTTAAAAAGTTTCATAACAACAGACTTAAA